GGGAGTTCAATGCCGCCATAAACATTCGCACGTGTGAAAGTTAGATAGTTTTGTTGTCATTGGTTTGTGGCCTGACAGGAAAAACTACATTGCAAAGCTCCTTTGCATTACAAATGCTTCTCCTCAGCTTTCTCTCCTGTTTTAACAATGGCCTGACATTCAGAGAAGTATCCAAGTAACCTGAGCCTGACATATAAAGGTTTCATGCTCTCTACTTAAAGAGAACATAGTGGATTGGATTTTGTCAAACAGATTGTTTGCCAAACAGTTATGACATTACTCAACTTCGTGTATGGCATTTTATGGGAAGATTAAACGACAGCATCTTCTATGTACTTCCCGCTCCTTTCCTTTTCTTGCAGATACAATATTCAGAAAGCAAAGAGAGAAGAGTCATATCACTTGCAATAGGCAGCAACCCCAAGTACCCCAAACATCTATATACTACATGAAGCTAGGGGGCAAGATCTGTAGAGGTAAAACAAATCCTCTGCCTTAAGTTTGAAAACAACCCCCAGTGGTAAATGCAGCATTAATTCAGGTAATAGCTTTGATTATGCAAGCATTCAAATCTCCCCATAACTCAGGGTAATACTATGGAATTAGCAAATTCTCCTTTGTTTCCAACTTCTCTGATCAATCACTATCCAACAAAAAGGTCCACTATGTGTCAGGACATTAAATTCATAAGTAAATTTCAAAACAACTGCTGCTTAGGGAGATAAATTTAGTCTATATTCAAGATACTTTCTCCCTCAATGAACCATTTGATAAATATGCTTAGTTTCTCAAAATTAAATGTGAGATTTTAACAACTACTACAGCCCTTTGGAAAGGCACCTAATAAGTTTCTTTTCCCACAAACTGCCTCATTCATATCCACACCCATACCCACACCGAAAAATATGGATTGCGGAATTTCTCTGCATCAGATTCCCATTTGTAATGCTTGTTAAGCCATCTGGATGAATTCTAGTAACCACATGCTTTGTTCCAGAAGCAGGGGAAGCCCTTTTTTTTTTTTTTTTTATCATACCAGATAATATTGAATTGGTGCTTCAAGTCTTCTTAAGGTTTGAAGCAGACATCACTTACAGATGAAGCAGAAAGTGTCACTGGTTCTCTGAGTTCCTTAGCTTCCCTCCTTTCATGAGCTATGGAGCACAGGGGTTGAGTTCACATAGCCTGCTAAATCATGGTTGTGGTTTTGTATAGTTTTGGCTTAGTGTGTGGTATGGAACCTTTTCAAACTGTATACCCCATCCAAATATCCAGCATGTATTTCAAATACTCTTGGATACCATGAGTCTGTGCTGCCTCTAGTTTTAGTGCCTTTACTGAACAGGATACAAGAACTTTAATGATCTAACAATTTCTGAAAGAGGCTTTCGGTTTTACTCCAGACAAATGTGAATATAAGCAAAATTTCAAGCAACATAATGTAATTAGTTTTCAGTCTTACAAGGAGGACGTTTAGCCAACAACTCAGTAAATTTCTTTTCCTTCCTATCTTTTCATCCAGACCAACTCCCAACTGAATTTGTGAGAGCCACGTCTCTCAGAACAGATCCCTAACCCCACCCCAAATATTATGGCTTCTTAAAAAGTTTTACAGGCATATTTGTCCTTTCTCTATAGGCATTCTGATTCTCCCTGCTCTGTCAGTAGCACTAGATTAGTTGTAGAATATAGGTTTTCAAATTTTCTATCCTGACTTCATCGCCTGGAACCCCTGAACAATGTGTGCTGGAAGATTCTGCCTAGGATCCAAAATTCACACACAGGGTACAGGACAGACCTGCCAGGCCTCAATGCTACTCAAGATTATGATGGTTTATTATTTCTATATAAAAGCAGTTTACTATTAAAAGATAATTAAAAGAGTACAAACGGAGGGTCAAACCTAGGCATGAGGGAGAAGCCAACCACCACTCTGCCCCTCCACATCAAAAAAGATGTGTCTGTCTTATTTTTGATCAAAAGGAGCACACAGGTAGTTAACTCTTTCCCCACTTTCTGAGGTTCTAATGATCTCTTAGCCTGGTACATTTCTCCTAGCTCGTTCCAATACTAACAGTGAGCCTAAAGAAGTAGAAGTTAATTACTGTGTCTAAAGAAATAGAAGGTAGAGAAGATGTCAAGCACGAAGCCTCTGACTAAAAAAGAAAAAGGTAATTTCTTCATCTGATGCAGAAATAAGACAGAAACATGGATAAGTGCAGCTGTTCCAATCACATATAATTTAGCTGCGAGACTATGAAGTGGAATGTACACAGCAGGTCTTTCCAGACACGTATCACATGGGAATATTGGTCATGGAAAACAACATCTTTCAAAGAAACTTGTATACTACTGCTGAACTTCTGAAAAAGCTCCAATAAGCTTCAGAAGATCTTCAGAACCCAAAGATTCAGGGCCAAATAAGGTGTGGCAGTATTGATCCGCTCAGCAATTGCACAAGTATATTTTGCAAATAACAATAATGGAACATATGGGCAAGAGCAAAAGGTTAAAACCTTCTCCCCTACTCTCCATTGTCTGTAATTGACCTTACAAACTCCCATCTAAATACAAGAATAGTGTCATATCGTTTGGCCCAAATTGACTCTCACTAATAATCTAGAAGCAACAGGTTAATGAGTAGAAGCCTGGGGTGGAGGAAATGCAAAGAGAAAGGGAGAGAGAGAGAGACTGTGCAAGATAAGATAGCTGTGAGAATAAAGTGGCTCTTTGAGACTCATCTTCTGTGGATGCAGCCTCAGTGAAGGGAAACTGAGTAGCAACTTTTAAAAGTCTATAGACAAAGGTAGATACAACTTTGTTCTGTGGAATCGTGGGGTTTTTTTTAGGGAACATCCATGGAAAAACCGGGGGAGAAATCCACTTTTATGCTGTTCCATACTCTGGGTGGGTTGGACACAAATGATTGGAAGTGTTAAGAAAGTTGCTAATTTATACCTAATGGCAAGCTTCTTATTTTACAGTTAAAGGACAATCAACAGAATGAAGGTTGCATGTCTAGGGTGCTCCGCAAACTTTATCCCAGTAATCCTCCCTAGAAAAATTGTGACATAGGTCATACTGACGCACGGTATAGACTGTTTTTCTATCAGTCCTAAAGCTTTCACAATTAATTCCTGAGTGTCCATGCATCGATTATATTTTTCAATAGGTATTTTTTTCCATTGTGAATCTAAAATTTAAAAATGAAAACAGGCAAAAAGTAATGTTATATTCCCATAGGGATGCAGAGATGGTTCATAGGAGTTATTTCATTAATGAGAAAGAAAACATTCAAGTTTGCATTTGATTATACATCCTTATAACTCAGTTCACCCCTTTAGCGTCACTTAACAAACATTGCTTTCCTCCAAACACATCCAGTGCGGGTGTGTGTGAATGGGAAAATTCATGTCTGTTAGTGACATGGAGAAGAACGAGAGTGATTTTAAATATCTGGAATCAGCTTATTTGAGCTGAAAGGAAGTCCCCTTCCAAGAATGAAGTAATCTCAATTTCAGTAAACTAGAACATAACTCTAAGGCATGTATGATCAGAGAGCTGGATACATACCACACACATATCTTGCTTCCCTACCCTTTTGATTAATACAGAATAATTCTGGATCACTTCAGCGGGCTCGAACCCTCACTTCATGGCTCCATATTGTCCCTTAGCAATCTCATACAAAGTATGCCAGGGCAACTAGGAATGTTTTAAGGATGGTGATGCTGGCACTATTTAGCATGAGGTCATCTGAGAAGCTGTAAAAATCCAAGAAGCTTAGTCCTATGCATACCTATTCAGAAACGTCGCCCACTAAGTTCAACTGGATTTACAGCAGAGTCTACCTCGGAACAAGAATACTGACCGATTTGATGATCCTAAGCCAACTTAACTCAGATCAAGCAGATCTAAGGGGGCCGGTGTAAAACAGATAGGAGCGTAGCCTGAGCCGGAACCTGGTACACCTGAACGATGTTTATTTCCGACTACCTGCACCTGGGCCTGTCTTTCAGGTTCATCTTTCTAGCGTTGGGAGCTGCAGTGGCCCGGGTACTCTCGGGCGCAGATGCCCAGCCCAGCCCAGCCGGCACCGCGGCCGCTCGGAAGAAAGTGGAACAACTCCGCGTCCCCACGGGGCCGGGAATCTGCCTTACGTCGCCGTCCGCACGCACGCACGCACGCACCCCGGCCCAAGAGAGAGGAGACACGCACCGGGATCGTCCTCGTCGCGCGGCACCTTGCGGAAGCAGTCGTTGAGGCTGAGGTTGTGGCGGATGGAGTTCTGCCAGCCGGCCTTGCTGCGCTTGTAGAAGGGGAAGTTCTCGGCCACGTACTGGTAGATGTGGCTGAGCGTCAGCTTGCGCTCGGGAGCGCTCTGGATGGCCATGGCGATGAGTG